ACTCATGATAATATATATAAATATATAAGTACAAGATATATGTACGTACGTGGGGTATGTCAAGATTGTATGCTTAATTGATGTGACAAAATTTGGTCACAGGACTTGTAGTAAGAGACATTATAGAGAGCAACACGGGAATTTGTGTGTGTCAGAAGAAAGCATGTGTTTTAATGTTTCAGTAGAGTAAACAGTAGTTTGAAGGGGGTTCTTATATAGGCATATGCTTATAAATAACGGAAATTTATTATTTCACCACTAACCCTAAAGCATTGCCCTCTGTTCGAATGTAGCCTGGACAAGTTTGAGGCAAAGTTTGAAGAAGCTTTGAGGAAAATTGTCAACAGAACCATTGACGATGCCATTAACAACAGATAATAAAATCATAACAGACAAGGCAACAAAATGGTCTCACTCGTTCGGAACTCTAGGGATCTTGAATCTTGGCTCTTGATGTTTCCACTTTTCACAGCCAGTGTGACTTCATATGGTTCTCCTGGGCTCAGCTTGTTAAACTGTACCATGCTACACAAACGAACACACAACCATTATACACGTATAGTTACACTAGTTCACATGCACACTCTCGAACAAAACCTGCCTCACTATCCTTGCAGCACCCATGCATAACCGCTGCTCTGTGCTTGCAGCAGCCTTACAGCATACATGCACACACTCGTACCAAACTACCTCATGCAAACTATGCACTATAACTGACTTGTCGTACTTTCTGCGCAGTACTGACTTCGAACCACCCATTCAACACCCTTAAATGATCGTAACATCACCTATGCATCACTGTTACATCACCTATGCATCACTGTAACATCACCTATGCACCAACCTCATACCCATGCAACATTCATGTACAAGCTTTCAACATACTACATTCTACTGATCACAACCCGCAACCACAGCATCAACGACAATCTCAACCAAACACACTCACAGTGAGCTGGCGTTGCGTGGCAGGAATTTCTCCTTGTCTGTATCGAAAGACACTAGTCTGATGATATAATAGTCAAACGCTCCTGTCTTTGTGGGCGAGACTGTCACATTCACTGTTGTGTTTGACATTTCTATCTGCGTGAAGTTAGACTCAAGTAGTGGCCCTGAAGAAGAAAAATAATGATCGATAATAAATCTCGATCATGATGCCCAATTATTTATTATTATATAAGCAATTATATTCATCACAAATTCGTTAACTGCATGCAATTGTGAGTTAGCAAGATTGTTATGATCATGCTTTACATGCTTACATTCTTATATCCTTTCATGTTACATTTAATGTTTATATGGCTTTTTTTCCTAATTAAAAAAACCAATTACCGTTAATATTTCTCGTTAACTATCGATTACACTCACGTGTCCTTCGTTCGATGGTGGCCGGAATGCTCGTTAGGTTGAAGGCATTCAAATAACTCGACACTGACACGACATACTCCTCCCCCGCCGTCAAGTTATCAAACGAGAAGGTCTCTGCTGCTTTACCTGTGAATGACAAGCGAAGGTCATGGTCATGTCCTTGAAAATATCTCAGTTATAATAGTCAGGGAGCTCATTCAACCCTAAATGTACAACCTTCTGCTATCTAATCAACTTTACGTATAAACTATCAACTGTAATTTATGATAACCCTAAAACCTAATACTATATTGATAACTATCAGAACAAAACCATTCGGTTGCAGTCACTTACCTAGTGTAGCATTACCGTTACGATCCATTCCACTGTAACTGACACGGTATTCATCGAAGTTACCATATGGTGCTAACCAGCCAACTCCTAGTCCAGTATTAGTGTAGAAACGCAGTCTCATATCCCTTGGTGTGCTTGGTCCTAAAAAGCAACACACCCAATATATAACATGACACCATGAGTAACACTATCGTTTCTAAGCTGAATTTTAGGGGAAAAAGCATATTTATGTTCAGCTTTTATTTTTATTGTCTCTTTACATTTCTGTCCCTTAGGATTGAGCTTCCTTGACGGTGAAACTTTGCTCAACAAAATTGCTCATAAGTGTGAATTATAGAAATCATTAGATAATTATAACTTCAGTAAACACGGTCTGCTTAACACAGTAACCGTCAAAACCACCAATACAATGCTATCATCACACATTATTAAAACACGAGAGAAGAGAAGGTGGTATAACGAATCGTAACCATTTTCGTATACAGTGGACCCCCCGAGATACGAACGACCTCCTATTGAACGTAATGTATTCGACAAATGAATAAAATTCAACATACGAACATCTTACGACTCAGCCAATCAGGTAATAAGCCGGTGAGTCAGTTTAAGTACGTGACTCATTGAATGTGGTTGTGCTCTCATGATTGCACTTGCTGTACGTAAATTGCTGTATGTCCTATATAGGGTTCAAGATACGAATTTTTCGTTTCGAGACACGAACAAATCTGTGGAACGAATTAAATCCGTATCTCGGGGGTCCACTGTATTAGAAAATAACGAAAGACACAGATAACACCAATCAAAATGAACCACGTCCGTAAGAGAAATACCGATTAGGAATGCACTGAAAAGTCATTCACGTACTTGTGGCCTGCACCGCGGTGATGGGATCACTGTACTGGTTATGAGCCACACTCTCCACTGACAGCTTGTATTCGCTGCCCGACTCGAGTCTCCTCACGATCACGCTACGCCGTGACGTGTTCGTGACGACCATCGTCTGCTCGAGTCCGTCAGATGACGACGACACGTTGACACGAAATGCGTTGATGAAGGCAGCGTCATCGTCCACGAACGCCCACGTCACCAGCATTGTACTGTTGGTGACGTTAGCCGTCGGCACGTGCAGGTCGTACGGCGCTAGCGGCACTGCAAATAAGCGCACCGCAGATTAGATAAACGAAGCGTTATGCTCTTGGAAACAATACTGTTGCATTGTATAGTTTTACGTGATTCACGAATGTTGGCACAGTCATTTGTGCCCAGCATAAAGCAAGCAACACACTTGCGCCAACTGAAAATCACAGCAGAAATTAGCCAAAATAGTATGACAAAACTTTTAATGTAATGTAGTAATTATGATATACATAAGAAAGTCTTAAATATATTTAAATAAATAAATATACAGGGTTTCATCATCCTCTTTTAATTATCAATACTCACTATAGTTAACAGTATCCACTAATCCTTACGAGTGTCAAATGCTCACCTAAAGATATGTTTTTATACAGTGGTTCGCTCTTTTCACCATAGCTATTGGCAGTCAAGTTCAACTGGTAAACAGCACCAGGAGTCAGACCAGTGACTGTGACTTCAGACACTGCATTGCTCACTTCCCGTGTGTAGATCAAGTCATTGTTCACGAGTCCATACAAAAGTGAAAGGGAGGTCGATGGGGTGCTGCCATCTGCGGGCGACCACTTCAGTTGAAAGCTGTCAGCGGATGGTATAAGTGCAGTGATGATGGGTTGAAGAGGCTCTGTAGAAATAAATAATAGAGTATGTGAATTCGGTGTCATTGTTCGATGCTATTGCTATATTGCGATGGGGGTCAAACAAGCTGTAAACTGTAAATGGCTTTTAAAACAGAGCCTATAGAGCGCTATATTGTAAAATTAATAATATCAACAGCGTATTAAGAAGGAGAGCGTACAACGGTGAAATGCTGAAACCATGCTGTAGTATTAGTCAAATTAATAAACTTTGCCTATTTTATTTTGACGATTCCTTGATATTTTGGCATTATTGATTTTTTGGTTTTATTGATCAGCTGTCCTACCTTGCAAATATAAAACAAACCGCTTGTCCCTACGATGCCTCTACGCTGAGATAATGAGCGGTGAAAATCTGGTATTTTCGCCGAAAACCGACTCGAGATACGTAGATACTGTCTCTCGTTCTGGCGATAGCTTCGGGAAACCTCGCGTGTTTCCGTCATTCATTGACAATGAAATTTCTTTTCCTTCTACAATCTCGCATTTCCAGTCATTGACGCAGCCATTACTCCACAAAAACGTCTTGTCATTTATCGCCATGGTGATGACCCGCCCCTTACGCTGGATGTAGTAACGCTGTAGTAATAACGTATCAAGTCAGCGCTACACAGCGGCGACCGGAAGCAACAATAGAGTCCACAAAACGAGAGACAGTCGCAGTAAACACTGATCTCGAGTGGGTTTTCGGCGAAAATACCAGATTTTCACCGCTCATTATCTCAGCATAGAGGCATCGTAGGTACATGCGGTTTGTTTTATATTAACAAGGTAGGACAGCTGCTCATTAATACTGCAAAGAATCGTCAAAATAAAATGGGGAAAGTTTATTAATTCGACTAATACTGCAACATGGTTTCAGCATTTCACCGTTGTACGCTCTCCTTCTTTATACGCTCTTGATAATATGTAAAATATGCGGTTAAGGCGTATCACGTGGTCGTGTTAAAGTGCTAGCTTAGTTTGCTCGTATACGAGCGCAGACTCTTACTTGTAGCTTGTAGTGCTGTTGATACATCACTGCTAACATTGTTGCTGACTGCTACGACGTTAATAGTAAACTGCTGCCCTGGTGGAAGCCGATCTACAATAGCAGCATGTTCTATTGTCTGCAGCTTAAATTGTTCGTCCATCTTACTCTGTTGCACAACATTGGCCACTGTTACCTAAAAGACGAACAGTAACACGATGGTAAGATATGTATTTACTAAGGAAAATGACCAGTCCATTCAGACCTAGTTCAGGCGTACTTGGTCTACTATATAGCCGTACAAGTAGGGATCTTCCACTACGGTGAAGAAATAGAATGAACTTTTGATCTTCTTTACTAGAAGACCTGTGACTGCACTTATCGAGTGAAAAAATAAATGCCATCCCGTAACACAGCTAGCCAAAGTAGTAAAAACCTGCATTAACTAACGTACCACAAAATATTGCTGCTGGCTGGTCATATCGACTTTCCATGATAAACTTATGGCAGATGTATTCAATGCCAAAGCTTGCAGGTTAAGAACGGGCAGAGGTCCTAAAAGTAGTGATGTCATAAAACAATTTATGAGTACGCACCAATGCAGGATCTTTAAACGTAAACGTGCGTTTAAATATTACTTTATACGTATCATTAGTATAGCAAGATGCAGTATGAGAATATTACTCGCAACAAAAACAGATACGACTTGGTACGATGTTTCATAGCCCTGGTATTTAATCAGTTCATCTCCTACGAAAATATTTCTTCATCGAAGAATTGGTGTCATCGGTTTATATAACATGAGGATATCATCAGGAGTGAATTAAAACACATTTTCTTCTTCACTACTGCATGATATCATATTAAGAATAAATCAATACTTTTAGAATTTCTAAAAGCTGTTCTACAACACTACACTACTAATATTAAACATTTGGTTATATTGGTTTTGGTTAAGATTTCTGACCCCATATCTAAGTATTTCGCACTTTTCTGTGCGATTCTATTTAGCACGAATGAAATCTTATACGTACGGGCAGTAACATTGTAGCTGACCCCGTCACTTAACATTCCATTGCTGACCGTCGCCATGGAAACCGTCAGCATCTTCCCTGGCATCATATCACCAATCAGCATGGACAAGTCACCTGTCAGCTGTAAATTCTGTTAAAAAAAAGTCGGAATTTTGTCTCGAGGTTTACAAAGAAATCGAGAATTGATATACTTACGAGATTATAGTAACACACAATAGTAAGGTCATTAAATAACACTTTATATCATACTCAATCAACGTTTGATAAGGTTGGAATGTTTCTGTTACGCTGCCCTTTGTCGACATAAAATAAAATATGACACTTACTCCGGCATATTCAAGGCGGAATTCATCAAAGCTGCCCACTGATGGAGGTCTCCATGACAACAGCGCAGATGACGATGTTGTTTCTAACACACCCATGCTCTCTGGTGGTAATGGAACTGTGGGGACATCACATACTATACTATAATATACTATATATATATGTATATAGTATATTATAGTTAGTTAAATCCTTCCCGCGCCTTCATACGCATAGCGTATAGCTACAGGCGCATAGGGCGGTGCCTATATCTCCGTTTCTGTAACCCTGAGGCCCCGCAGCTGCTTTCACAGTAAATGCTACAGTAGGGGGTTAGTCCACTTTAGCACTGCGAGTTAACTTGCCACGCTGAATGCTAAGCAGAGAAGCCGTGTGTACCATTTTTCAAGTCTTTGGTATGACCCGGCCGAGAGTTGAACCCCCGACCTTCCACATACGAGGCGAGCACTCAACCATTGAGCCATCGCAGTGGTATAGTATATAGTATATATTATATAGTATATTATAGGTTATAAGTTTATTAACCAATAAATATCTTTTTAATTAAAAGTCAATCTCATATATTTTGGTTCGATATATCGGGAAGATATGCTAGATGTGCAACGTTTAATTGTGATACTGATGGCTATAGTGCAATCACACATCATTCCCTCTCAAACGACTTACATCTTATCTTGCCCTTACAAATGTAATCATTGTGATAATACAATAAGACAGTGCAGGTAACACGAGGGCATACCTGTCGATACATTGATTGTTGCTGCTTGTGAGCTCTTGTTGTGAAAGATGGCGTAGATAGAGAATGAATAGCTCGATCCCGGTTCGAGCTTGTCCACCCGCGTCGGAGAGGTGGCATTCTTAATCAAGCTGCAACACAAGAGCGTGCTAGCGGTTAACTATCCAGATTGTGCCGCATCGGCGCACAAACAACTTGTGAAATGCAGTTGGCAGAAGGAGGGCAGTGAGGCACAGGGGAGTCTTTACTGAATGCCGTACGCATTTCTTAATGCCGAATTTATTAGGTGGAACAATGATCTGGCACAACAGTTAGCCAAGAAGAAGAAATGGCAGGTTGCTTCTGTTTGGCTGAGTAACTGTGAAGGCCAAACCCCACTCAAGCGCAATGCAGTTAAATCCCAATATGTATATCAAGCAGTGTTGTAGGTCTCGAGGCCGGTCTTGGCCTCGAGACCGGCCTCGAGACCGTTTTCCTTGGTCTCGGTCTCGGTCTCGGAGTGCAATGACTCGGACTCGGACTCGAGCCCTCCGGACTCGAGGACTCGGGTTGAGGCCGGCTCGAGGCCACTACATACATAGTACACAACTGTACATATTGTAACACGCAGTTTACAAGAATTTAAAACTAAAACTCCTAGGTTTTCTAGATAGACGGCCTAATCTTGTAACGTTTTCAATGGCTCGATTAAGATTCTTGTCCCTTTGGTTTGAATCTGCTGTCACCTCGTCCCTTTGCGCTTTTTCTCCCACTTCTTTCTCTTCTTCTACCACTTCGAAGGTACTAGCACTCTCTCATTTGGTTCAACAAGCCGTGTCATTCACGTAAAACACAAATGGATCCGTTACTTTAACACGTTTCGTATGACTCGTGTCTCTGTGTTTTCGGCTGACTATACACTTTCGAATGTCTACGATGCACTGTTGCGATTTTTTCCCTTGATGTTCCTTAAATGTAACGAGCATGTACTTTAAGGAGTAATTTACTCAAGGAGAGATTCTGTTCAGACAGTTGTTGTTGAGAGTTGTTATGCACTATGCATTATAATCATTTATACATAGTACAAAAATACATGACTGTATGCAGTGATTGCTTCATTCGCATTGTTCGCTTGTTACTCAAGGAGAGATTCTGTTAATCCACACGTTTCTGTTAATCCACACGTTAATCCAAAGAGAGAGTTCAGCTAATACAGTGTATACGCGCATATATACATACATTGTATAAATCGACAAAATGATGACTTACGCATAAGTCGTAATTTTCCTAAGTCGACACAAATATGCTGGTCCCCAAAAGTGTCGACTTATGCAAGTTTTACTGTACTTTCTATTTCATGCAAACAAGTGACAGATCCAGGACTATCCAGGGGCAGGAGACACCCCCCCCCCCAATTTTTGAACAAACACATACATAGAAGTGAGTGGCCTTGTCGGTCTGTGCCCCCTTTTTTTTAATCAAAGCTGGACTCGGACTCGGACTCGGACTCGGGTGGCGTGGACTCGGACTCGGACTCGGACTTGGAAGGTGCGGACTCGGACTCGGAGGGTGCGGACTCGGACTCGGACTCGGACTCGGACTCGGGGGGTGCGGACTCGACTACAACACTGATATCAAGCGGGAAAAACATTTAACAAATAAAAGTAAACGTGTGGTAAGCATAGGGGTAGGACTTTTAGGTGTGGTTGTTGTTAGAGCATAAAGGGTTAGATATGCTTCACAAAAAGCTTATATTAGATAGATTAGCTGTAATATAAACATCTTTCACTTAAATTTAACAGTACTACACCCTACACGAAGAGTACCATAAAAATAAACTTTCTTCTGCTTTAATTTTACTGTGCATTGCCTTGTAAAGTTTATATAAATATGTGATCACAAATATGAGATTTATTGTTATTCTATTGTAAATATTTAAAACCACCCACTCTTCATCATCAAACTTCATCTCACTAGGATTCAATAAAAACAATGTTTGTTTTTATTCAATCCTTATATTACCTGATGGATGCATGCATGCGTGTGCCTTCGTGTACGTGTTTGCGCTTGCCAGTGCGTGCATGTGTGTGCGCGCGCGTGCGTTCGTATAAGCAAGAGAGAGAAGACTGGATGGTTGGTTTTACATGATATTTCAGAATTGGCTGTTGCACTGGTAAATCAGAAAAACAAGCAAATCTGTTTACATTTCACCTCACCATCTGGTAACTGATAGTACAATCTGATTGCAGAGAGCATCTAAGTCTTTTTACCTGACTTGTCCTAGAATTCCCACTTCGAGATCATTACTCTTGCCATAGTTGACTATATATGTGTTCGCCTGACCGATTGCTGGGGGTTCCCACTCTAGCAGCACATTGTCCGTTTCAGACTGACCCCTAACACCGCCGGGCACTTCTGGCACTAAAATGTAGGAAAAACACAAGGTTTCACAAGGTTTTAAGCTTTACACACACGCACGCGCGGACATTTTATAATACATACATGCATACAATACATACATACAAAGAAATCTCCTTTTATACCAGCCTCAGTGAAAGTGTGAGCATCTAGAATACACACACTATATAATGGGATAGCTGCGCACACACTAGAACAACAATGGTTCCATATACAGTAGCATGCACCGCGTACCCATGCAAACATATGAAACGTTTGATACAGTTAAACAACCCCTTGTGCAAATAGGGCCACACTGGCCGACCTATGTATATGTCAACGTTACTGCCCTCCTGATTGCAGTTTCAATATTATTGAAAAAGCTCGAAAAAACTACTGTTTATGTTATATCTTCCTACCATGCATGCCATGGTACGAAGCTATATAAGAACACGCATGCAAGCAGTGATAAAACTGCTGGAGCAGTTTCCTCAGTTCAAATAATGATATACGAAACACGCCCTCCGCCACTGAACAATTCCAGTTGGTCAACAATATACCTTCACAGGTAACTGTCACTTTCTGGCGGTGACTGCAATACCGTACTGAATTTTCTATCAGCTACAGTTTTACAGCTAGTGAATGACACGAGATTCTACCTCTAACTGACTTCCTGGACAATGACAGACTAAGAACATGCAGGCGGGTAGTAGCGAGAGAGAGAGGAGCGCGCACGAGAGAGAGAGAGAGAGAGAGAGAGAGAGAGAAAGAAAGAGGCGAGAGAGAGCAAGAAGAAAGAGAAGAAGAGAAATGGAGAACGAGAGAGAGAGAGCGAGAGATGGGAGACAGAGAGAAGGAGGAGAGAGACGAGAAGAGAGAGAGAGAGAGAGAGAGAGAGAGAGAGAAGAGAGAAGAGAGAGAGCAGAGAGAGAGCGAGAAGAGCAAGAGAAAGAGAGAGAGAAATGGAGGAGAGAGATGCGAGAGAAGGGAGACAGAGAGAAAGGAGAGTAAAGAATTGACGGAGAGAGAGAGAGAGAGAGGAGAGAGGAGAGAGCGAGGAGGAGAGAGAGAGGTAGAGGGAGAGGGAGGAGAGAGAGAGAGGAGCTGCGAGAGAGAAAGAGAGAGAGAGAGAGAGAGAGAGAGAGAGAGAGAGAGATGAGAGAGAGAGAGAGAGAGAGGAGAGAGAGAGAGAGAGAAGATGAGGAGGAGAGGAGAGAAGAGAGAGAGAAGAAGAGAGAGGGGAAGAGAGAGAGAGAAAGAGAGAGGAGGAGAGAGAGAGAGAGAGAGATGAGAGAGACGAAGAAGAGAGAGAAGAGAGAGAGCGAGAGGAGAGAGATGAGGAGGAGAGGGAGAGAGAGAGAGATGAGAGAGGAGAGAGAGAAGAGAGAGAGAGATGAGAGAGAGAGAGAGAGAGAGAGAGAGAGAGAGAGAGAGAGAGTCAAGAAGTAGGACATAAGACACGCCGATATAGCTTGTGCGAAAAAAGTACAACAAAGGGGAGGAATAAGTAGAACAACGGTGGAACTTTTTGCAGTAGCCTTTGCTTGCTTTTTTCTTCTGTGGATAATTCACACGTGCCCTTCAACATTCTACCGATTGAGTGATGAAGGGTTTTAGCTCAGCACATGAGACAAGAAAGGGCAGAAACTCTCTTGCATGCAATATTTTATAATTCTGATAACACATGCGTGTTATATATCAAACGACACTGCTTGTGCTGTATTCCAACCAAACATGGACACGCATACTGCTTAACAAAACACGCATAATCACTTCGTGAAACGAAAAAAATAGCAAGCCGCATGGCAGAGAAGAAAATAATAAGAGTAATAATGAAAGTGTCAATGACACTGTAGCTCACCACAAAAAAGGACACAAATGAGTGAGTAAGAAGAAGTCAGTTTTAATTGAGCAACCATCGACGTACATTATAGAAACGATTGCCATCTGTATATTGCAATAATAATTTATAAACCAAAATGAATCACAATTTGTGACCGTAGATGGCGCTATAGCCGCTTTGTAGCGATGGCGTTTGAAATAAATAGGTTATGCTGCGTTCCGACATGTTTTGTAAAACTTTACTCTAATATGGACGTTTTATCGGCAGGGTGGAGAGGAAATACCAATTTTGCATTAAAGATATTGTCAATGAAATCTTGTAAAACGAACCAGACGAGTGTCACACCACAGACTGTTAGTTATCTGCGTTATATGCTATATAATTGCCAAACCCTACCTAATTTGCATAATTTTTTTTTAAATATCAAAACCCCTAGCCCTTATTCATTCACATACCAAAAATGAGCAAAATCCGTTGAACCTGAACTGACTAATAGCAATTCCCATTTTTGCCAAAAAATTGCCGTGGCTCGAAAGTACGTCGACTGGCGTGCTTCAAAATAGGACGTTTAATAGGAGCATAGCAGTAACAACTCAGACGATGTCAAGGTGAGCTAAAAACTTGATCTCTTGGCAAAACAGAGAAGTATGACTGGCATGATTAAGCGGTGGTAGGTCTAACTCAGACATCATCAACTAAACCCCCCTGGTTGCCAACCGGGGGTACTAGTACCCCATGGGGGTACTAGCGAACACCACAGGGGGTACCTGGTAAGCCTCTTAGACAATTTAAAAAAAGTAGTGCTATATAATAATCAGCGGGTAATTCAGGCATCTCTATCGACGGTGCCAACAAGTCATGGTTTTAAAAAAGTTAGTTTCTGCCATGCAGCAGCAGTCCTCTCATTGAACTGTCGTTTAGGGCACAGTGCGCTTGATTGGAAAAATTCGCCGTGCGACTGCATTAATAAAACATAAACATGATATCAAAATATTCATGACAATACATCAGTGTTGGTTCTTCATTTTGCTTATGGTGGGCGAAAGGGTACCAGGAGATAGCGTAAAAAAATTTGGGGTACGAGGAGTTCAAAAGGTTGGGAACCACTGCGTTACTAAAGCATCATTACAACTTCTGAAAAATAACTTATGCAAAGCTATACGCACCCGTCGCAGTGTTGAATATCTTGAAGAACTTCGCTGCGGTTCCATTGTTGAACTCCGCAATGATCTGCACAGTGAACAGTGTTCCGGGCAGCATGTTCGGTATCCGCACGTTCCCGGCATCACTGGCGACGGTGCCGTTCACAATGAGTTCACCTAATGAACATATTTCCATTATTTAATACACATAATAATGTAAACTAACATTGTTTATAATCGATTGTAATTTTGGGTCTATCAGCAATAGGTTGTACAATGTAACATACTTTTATAGAACTTGTAAGTCGATATAACTTATAAGCTATAGAAAAGTATATATAGTGACATTGCTGGTTAAACTTATACATTGTTAATACATGTCATATTTAATTAATGACTGTGAAACGAATGGGGGCAGACAGCACAACCAACTACTAGTTAGTAGTACCAATCATATCAATTATTCTATAACTCATTACCTACGTTTACAAATTGAACAGATACGCATATGCTATCATTAATATTCCATCAATGGAGGTCTAATGTTTCGAAGCAGTCGTGCACTGGAGTAATTAAGATCACTGCAATGAATCACGATGTGTCGATCAATACTTTACGGTAGTAGACTACTCTCTTGATCTGACTCAGTATTGCAGTACGTATACCTGTATCTGAGGAGAATATCACCACCCTGTAGTTGGAGAAATCATAGTTCGGCTTCGCCAGCTCCAAATGTAGTTCTGCCGCTTTTAGCTCCTGCAACACACACAGCAAGGGAAACATACTTGTTTACTAAAATTACGTATTTACTAATATTCCTAAATTATGAACCATGCAAAGCAGGTTCGACCATTTTACGTCAATCATTATTTCGAACAATATGTCCCTTCGCTTTGCCGCATAGGAACCGGGAATTGAGTCGCTGCTTGTAGCGGACAGGTGGGCTATATTGGTAGAGCTAGTTCTACATCAGGTAAAACTTTTATCATGACTGTGATACAGTCTTGTCAGTGTCAGAGCTCACTAGTAAGCTCTCACTAGATCTCACTAGTAAGCTCTCACTAGATCTCAGTAAGCTCTCACTGGATAGCTGGTGGACAGGTCCCCCCGCGCAAACATTCAGCAGAGTGTCAGCGCACCAAACCATAGCATCTCACGACGTACATGAATGACGTCATGATGACGTCATGATGTGAATGACGTCAGGAGCACATGAATGAATCATCTCTCATGGATGGCTGCAGGTCAGGTGCATATCCCCCCCCCGCATACTACATGGCGACCATGTACATAAGGTAATACAAATAAGTACATAATGCAATTTATGAGCCTACGGGATCACTGGGAGCTTATACTAGGATAAAGATCCCAATTTTCCCCGTCAGTTCAACCCTCTATTGTCACTAATTCAACAAACTAAATCCTTCCCGCGCCTATGTGGCGCATAGGGCGGTGCCTATCTCCGTTTCCTTACCCGAGGCCACGCAGCTGCTTTCACAGTAAATACTTCAGCAGGGGGTTAGTCCACTGGTAGCACTGCGAGTTAGCTTTTGTCACTAATGGGTGAAGGTATTTCAAAAGATCTACGATTCGTGTTGGCAGAGTATAGAGCAATTCAGGCAATCCAGTGCTCATAAAGAGACTGCGAGGATACAGAGGTAAAGCGTCCGCTGGTCTATTCACACTCCCGTAAATTGTGTAATACACGCGCCTGCTACTCACACACGTCTCACATTTACTCTGCCATTAGCAGCCATAACTGAACGCAAAAACCCCAAAAGAGCAATGAAACTCGATCCACACCCACAACAAACTTGTGTCAAGAACGCAGGAAGACATATCGTGTGTCTAAAACTAAAGGTAAGGTAGTTTACGAGCGCCCCCCCCCCGTTGGTTACGTGACAGCATTCTTTTGTAATTGTGCGTTTTACACGGAAAGTTGAACGCCCTAATAATACCTACAGCTCGGCAGAGATAACCATGTAATTATGCAGGCATACACGTACGCGAAAACCATTCGTTTGGGACAAAACCACCATGCTCGCGTGCGTGCGTGTGCGTGCGTGCGTGTGCGCGTGCGTGTGTGCGTGTGTGTGCGTGCGTGGGTGCGTGCGCGCGTGCGTGTGTGCGTCCGTGTGTGTGTGTGCGTGCGTGCGCGCGTGCGTGTGTGCGCGCATGCGTGTACTTGCGTGTGGGTGCGTGTGTGCGTGCGTGTGGGTGCGTGCGGCTGGGTAGTTCACTTGGCAGGCAGCGCGTTCCCGGGGCCAGCCTATACGCAGGAGATGTGAGCACGACCCTCCCCGATCTACATCACCTTCTATACTATGATGATTATTACATCACCTTCTATACTACAATAACATGTATGATGATTATTACATCACCTTCTATACTACAATAACATGATGATGATTATTACATCACCTTCTATACTACAATAACATGTATGATGATTATTACATCACCTTCTATACTACAATAACATGTATGATGATTATTACATCACCTTCTATACTACAATAACATGTATGATGATTATTACATCACCTTCTATACTACAATAACATCGCACGGACACGCATCGGACGCGCACACACACACACGCACGCACCACGCACGGACTCACGCTCGCACGCACGCACCCACACACACGCACGCCCACGCGCACACGCACACGCACACGCACACGCGCGCGCACACACACACACACATCACAAATATGGCTGTGGTGCCATTTCGAATCCTTCGCGGGGTTATACAATAGGAAATAAAGTGAAACAGGTTTAACTGGATACCGAAATTAGGTGGTCGGGGGCAATATCATTCATTCAACGTCATTTATACATAGGCAAGTAAGAACGACCACGCAGCTCAGATTATCCGAGCAACTTGAATAACTCGGAAAACTTGAAAAACCTTGAATTATTCCAGTACTGGTCAAATAGCGAACACATCATAAAGCACATGTTAAATTACAATCGAGGATTTTTCTAAATTTAAATGTGTATTACACATTAAAACTGGGGAAAATAAGAAAAGTAGTTGTCCGGTAAGTTGCTTAATTGTTATATTTGTTATAATTTGCGCGTGAAATTACTGGCGTAATATGAGTTTTGGTACTAACTAATGCATACGTGTCAAATGCTGACACCTGGCTAATAACATGTGCCCTTCACAGCACGGTCACAGGAACACAATTATGTTCTCTACAGATAAAACAGCATCATATTGTAGCAAAACATTTCCATATCACTGATATCACTCTCAGCAAAACCCTCCGTAATTACATAATTATCCGTAATTACATAAACTTATAAACGGTAACCTGATGTAATGAACGATAATGATATATTTTGTAATCGACATTGGCAATGTCGGTGACCTGCCACACCTCCACACGCGCGCACAATTCTACCAACACATTCGATCTCGATCCCACCCAAAATGTCTCTCGGTCGTGTCACATACAAGAACATTTCAAAGGGATTTTCTCATTCCCTGTCGTCATACGACGAGGCAGTTTCCTGTGATTCACACGATACAGAATGATGCAGAGATTGCGAGTATACACACGCCTGTAGAGCGACCTTCAGTACGTTTGAACGCATGGCGCAGACGCATCACGTAGAACGTCATATCAAGCCCTAATCTGACTATTAGTTATACTTATGAAGCATATAATGTGCGTGCATGGTGCACATGTGCACAATGCACCTGAACTGGAAAGGTCTTGAATACAGCGAAATTGTATGAGCGTTCTTTAGAGATAGCCAAAATCATATCACTATACTAGGTTAGCATGGCCATGTATATTTTATCCTCTTTTTCGCCTATTGTAGAACAGTTAGTTGGCTGGGGTAAGTAAGTGGCCTTCAATAATTTCTTGAGGTTATGCAAATTATGAAGTAAGGTTACATAATATCAAGACCTAATAATACCTATTATACCTATAACACCTATGTATTATTATCTCTTGATAATATAAACGATAAAAATTTCAGCCTAGCTCTGCGCGGTGAACATTGACAGTAGTTGGAGATCAATCAGTGTGGCACGCAGTGGTAGAACTGTAACAGTATCAGGCGATCAGGCAGGAGAGCCATGATATAGAATATATCAGGGGTTAACAATGACAAATCATTTGTTTTCATTATGATTATTCATATCAATTGACAATTTGTCATTATTAACCCCTGACAATATAGACTATATAGACTATATTATGATAATAATATAGATGTGTATAATATAGATAATCTGTATTATACACTCCTGATTTTATGCTACTCGACGTTTACCTCAGCCATGTGTTATAGCTGCCAGAATATATGGTTGAGCGTGTGATTATAACAGGAGTGCATAATATAGATATATATAGGCCTATAATGCAGTCCTGATTATAACGTGGAGAGATCTCAATCCGCCCTCCCCCCGGGTGTACTTCATGGTCACTGATGATCACCTCACACCGGCGTTTGTACATACCTCACTGCTGCAGGCACGCGGGTATGATGATTAGAACTGGTTATTCGCGTGCATTCCTCTGCGCTCTTCCCCCCAAGCTTGTCACGAGCAAGGAAGAAGAACTGCTGTAACATCACCGCATAAACGAACGAGAGCATGCACTGCCTCCCAAGGGGTTTCTAAGTTGCCACCATATAATAATAACAGGAGTGTATAATAATAATATATATATATAATATATATATATATGATACACTTCTGATAATAATAAATGACTTTCACGTTATCCACAGGGGGTAAATTCCTCGCACTATATGACCACTAATCTGAAATTACTACACTACAAGCGAGTGGACTAACACTACTCCTAGGTAGAGGTGCATTCGCGTTGCTTATGTCATTCTAAATGGCTGTATGTGCGTTAGATTTACTCACCGTGCCATTAACAGACGATAATGAGTATGAGCGTATTACAAGCTAATGGACTATAAAGCTATCTCTGGATAAGATTAAATACCCNTAATAGAACTTTACCAGAACTTTATCAATAGTTTAATAGAACCAAGAGCGTATTAAGAAGGCTTTAACGTTCTTCTTTATACGCTCTTGATAGAACTTTACCAGAACTTTACCAGTAGTTTAATAGATCTTTACCAGAACTTTATCAATAGATTAATAGAACTTTAACAGAACTTTATCAATAGTTTAATAGAACTTTAACAGAACTTTATATCAGTAGTTTAATAGAACTTCACCAGAACATTATCAATAGATTAATAGAACTTTAACAGAACTTTATCAATAGTTTAATAGAACTTTACCAGAACTTTACCAGTAGTTTAATAGATCATTACCAGAACTTTATCAATAGATTAATAGAACTTTAACAGAACTTTATCAATAGTTTAATAGAACTTTAACAGAACTTTATATCAGTAGTTTAATAGAACTTTACCAGAACATTATCAATAGATTAATAGAACTTTAACAGAACTTTATCAATAGTTTAATAGAACTTTACCAGAACATTATCAGTAGTTTAATAGAACTTTAACAGAACATTATCAGTAGTTTAATAAAACTTTAACAGAACGTTATCAGTAGTTTAATAAAACTTTAACAGAAATTTTATATGTAGTTAAGTTTAATAGAACTTGACCAGAACTTTATCAATAGTTTAATAGAACTTTAACCGAACTTTATCAGTAGTTTAATAGAACGTTAACCGAACTTTATCAGTAGTTTAATAGAACTTTACCAGCCTTCGCCGCCCTGGTAAGTTTGCTTACTTA